AAACTTCTCCTTGAATATTTGACGGGCAAATTTTATCTCTGATGATTACGACAATGATTTTGAACTTATTGTTCCCAAGCTCTAAAGACTGGATCGTAGGAAAGGGCTAAGTAGATCATTAAAAAAGACGATGTAAACGCCTTTCTTTAGAATTCATCCTCTTTCCTCTCGAACTTACAGCAGAAAGTATTTTGTATTTTTTATGCTTAGAGGTATATAAAAATTGTAAATTTTTGTCCCCTTGGTTTAGAATGATGGCCCAAAGATAATTCATCTGATCGTGTATTTAAAATGTATAATTTCACTAAAATTAACATTCTGTTAAACTTCTAAACATCTAGCAATTGATGAAACCTCTAGCAAAATTGTACACGTTATGTTTTCAATTCAAATATACTAAGAGATTCGTTATACATGTACTTACTTGATTTTCTTGATCATTTTGTTTACCATCGTATGTACTCTTTACTTTCAGATTCAAACAAGCTACTCGGCCATCTTCCTGTAATTGGTTAATAAATTTGGTATTAAACTCTATGAATAAGTTATAAAAGTTTTTAAAATTATGTGTTCTTATTTATTCATTTTTTATTGATGTTATATAGTTGGATACATTATTTATATATTCAAATTTGAATATTCATTTTCTATATAAATCAAAGACAAAAACAACATCCCCTTAAGTCACCTCCAAATTATTTTCATTTTATTTTAACTTTAATTATAAATAGCAACAAAAATACCAAGTTGTAATAATTTCTATCTGACTATCGTCTGATTTCTGTTAAGTTTTCAAATTAAAGTAGTTTCAAGAAATATTAGGCAAATTTTCACCAAATTTGGCAACATCCTTGTCTAATTAAATGAAAAGTTTTTCAAAAGAAACGGTCATTTTCTCCATACAGAAGATAACTCACAAACAGTGAAAAAATGATGGGTTCGCATAGAAAATAATTCTTCTTGAAAAGGTCTAGGGAAAAAAAGCAAAACTTCCTTTATTGATTCCTGGGCCTGGCTGGGTTCAAATATTGAATCAAACGTTGGGGGGAAAAATCAAATGAATATCAGCAGTTGGAGTCACAGTCAGCTTAAAACATGTATAAAAGTGTCTTACATATGTATTTTTATGTTTGCTCAATTCAAACCAGCAGACTATAGTGTATCTACATCAGGAGATGGTAAAATTTTATGCTGTAAAATTTTGAAAAATCTTTGAGAAATCTTCCCCTAAAACTTTAAGTTTATTTTTTCCTGAAATAGGATGTTTTAATTTTTATATAGGCATACGTAGAGAAAAATCTTTAAAAATTTCGTAGGAACAAAGCATAAAATTAATCAAATTCATCTTCAAATGATATTGCGGTGTGTATTTTCAGTTTTATCCAATGAAGTGCAGAGGGGCACATTGAGGGATGGGGTCGGGAAGGGCAAATATTTTCATAAGAATATCAAGGGATCAATCAGTCGATCCCCTTGCCTTCCGGGACTTGAGTACAACCATAATATAAGCTAGAAATAGAATTTTTTTTTGTCTGCAGAGCAGCAAAATTACAAAAGGTCTACTAATACGTAAATAAGCACATCTTTTGAGAGGATTCACTTTACTTAGTCATGTCTCTCAAAACCCTGGTAAATATCAAAAAGAATTATGATTGAGATGAGCGCAGTACAAGTGTAAAATTTAAAAGGAGTTCATTTAGTGTCGTTATTTAATGAATAGCCCTCGTACGTCTCCCAGCTTATTCGATACTCATGAGCATGTTCTGAGTACGATCAATTTTTAAACCGAGGCAGGCTACTGACAGACAAGTTGATGTTACAGGAACTTTTACAACCTTTAAAGTCAGCATTTCGTAAATTCTATGGTTGTTATGATGACTTAATTAAAAAAATATAACCTGTCATTGGGTCGTATTTTGACTGAAGTGTTTCATACCAATTGTTAGGCCTTTGTTTTTGTAAATTTGACTAAGGTAAGTTTCGTCAATAGACAGGGCTTACGGTGGATGTGACCGGTCAGCAGGGGATGCATACTCCTCCTAGACACCTGATCTCATCTTGGAATTTCCGGGGGTCTGTGTTTTATGCCCTGTTCACAGATTTGTATTGTTTGTAGATTTTTTTTAGATCAATCACTGTTTGTTATCTTCACCTCTTTCATCACATTCTTTAATTTGAGCAATATAATCATATAATCCCATATAATCCTGTAGTACCTGTAACTGTCTTTTGAGAAGATCCTTGAAAATAACCCGACTGTAGATTTTCCTGAATCTTTGCATATACACTGAAGTCAGTGTCGCTACACATGGTATAAAAGTATTTTAGAGTTTCTGTTTTGTAGTTTTTACCCCCCCCCCCACTCCCCCCAAAAAGACAGTCGGTCAACTTAGATTGATTGATATATAGTTTTATTTTCTGTAAGGCACTAAATGAGTTCACAATGTAAAATTAAACTCAGTGTTGGAATTATTTCAACTTAAGTCCCCGTTTATTTGGAGGAGCAGTTCAAATGTCGGACAAAGTAAATGCGCTACAACAAGTACACATGGACCATCCGACCATGTAAATTAAAAAGAAAAGCCGTGTTATCGGTTCAGCGTGTCATTAATTATAATCAAGGTCTAAATATTGTCTTAAAATTTTCCTTTACAGAGTGTAATTAAATTGTAAATTGCATTCTTAAAAGGTACGGTTAGGGGTTACGTAGTCATGAAGGAATAAATGTATACTAGTATCTCAATTCATTACAATTACTAAAGTTCTTACGTTCTTTTTCTTTACGTACATGTAAGTACCAAACTATATTAGTTTGGTCATCGTATTGTCTAATATCATGCAAATATATGCAATATTAAAAAATAAAACCTCTCTTTTACAAATCTTCATTTTCAATTACATTTCATTCCAGTAATTTACCCTAGAAAGCTTGGGAAAAAAATCTTGACTAATAATAACAAGATATATATTTCCAAGAGTTTATCGCTTTTGATTAGAAAAATGTTATTGTTTTTTAAACCAACGAATTGTATAGGAGAATTAATTTGCTTATCATCATAAAAATTCATAAACTGAAGACAGTACGCACTTCATTGACACGTTAAACAATGAAAATTGTTTAGATGAGTCTTAATGTAGTGTTTAACATTTGCAGAATCAATATGGTAAAGATATACAGAATATTATGCCATATATTAATAATGGAAAAAGTAAAAAGAAAAGAAGCAGGCCTCATAATTAATATTTCAGTACTCTTATCTCCATGTTAAGGAACAATACAAAAGTGCAAGACAACGACTAGAAAATTTATTATTCTTATCGGGTTACAACACTTTAAGGCAACAAAAATTGGACTTGAACATACATTTATTCTTGTCATGATTTTAGTCCAGTGTATCTTTATTTTGGGAGTGCTAAAATACTGCGCATGTTCTTCAAACACTAAGAGGTATGGAATTTTATTCTTTTATTAAATTCATTTTTTCTGTTTAAATATTTTAACTTGGATATTTTTTTTTTCAAAATTACCTTAAAAGTAAAAGTGTTAAATATCTTTCTTTTTCAGATATACCCTTGGACAATCACAAAAACACAAATCACAGGATCGTTTTGTGAGGGAATTATGTAAGATCGCAATATTGTATTTTTTTTAACTACACCTATAATTGCAAATAATCAGCAACGCAGGCGAAGGATTCTTATTCATTTTGACGTTTAAACATTTTCTTTGCAAAATTAGAATCTTTATTATACAGGCAACATTTAATACAACTGCAGTTTCATAAATGTACCCAGTAAAAATGCCTACAATAAACAATTAGTTTTCTTGGATATAGTACAGTATACATACCCACGGGGATCCCTAACACATAGCCTCGCTGCTGATGATCAATCATCTCCAGCAATACATGTTGGTGACGGATCACGTGGAATAGCTATTGGATATAACAAAACATACCGAAACGTTTTTGTAGGTGCTTTGTATGAATGTTTAAAGTTTAAATCCTTTAAATCAAAGTAAACCCGAATGCATTTTGTAAATTTGTAATAATATGTTCATGAATAACCATAGACTTTATATGTCTATTTTGGTTTAGATCAGTTCAAATGGCCAGATAGTATTTGGAAGCGAAAGTCATTCTCTACATCCACAGAAGAATTATAAAGGGCCAGACATGCTGGCACCCTACTGGACAGACCTGTACCCAACAGGTGGTGATAACGGCTATGTTTTCTTCACAACTTACAGTGCTGACAACCCATCGGATCATACTGTGATTTCAAAAGCTAATTTTGCTGTTCTCTATAACAGTGGAAATTCGGGATTTTCTGCAAAATGGATTTTAGTTGTGACCTGGTGGAACACCAGAATAGTGGATTTTATCGGCGATGTAACATCTCTCTCTCTCTCTCTCTCTCTCTCTCTCTCTCTCTCAGAATTGATTAGATAATTGAATTATAGATTCTTTAAGTTCTCTACCTTTAGATTCCTTTTCAAGAATTACATTAAAACATTACATTGTAAAATAGACCTTTTTTTTAAATGTCTTTTTTTAAGCGAATCACAATTCGGTGTGTTGTAATGACAGACTTTATCACAACATATACAATTTATAACTACATCAACGTAGACGTTGATCCGTCTGTAACATCCAGACAAGTAGCCATTGAATATAAAACTAATCTGGAGTCATTTCGTAACGAACATTCATTCAAAGCCAACGCTTTCAACTTGACTAAATTACGAGGAAATACAGGTTCTAGAAAATTTTTTCTTTATTTCTTTCACACAGTTCCTTTCTCGTGTTTTTCATGTAAATGATCATCAGATTAAAGAATTAATCACCTTTCTATGCAGGTGAATATGGTATTTGGTTTTATACCCTAGCGGATGGTATGTAACATAATCAATTACTTTTGTCCACATATAAACTCTACATATATAACTTTATCCTTTCCCTCCAAAACCTTTATCAATTAAATGTTTGAATTGCATTTAGATAATGATTGCAAATGGAAGCCCTGTCAAAATGGAGGTTCATGTGTTGAAAAATATGGCGGATACCAATGTTCATGCTTCACTGGCTTTACTGGGATTAACTGTGAAAACGGTAAAATTCTAAATGCATTTCACTGTTCTTATTGTCGCCTGACTATCCAACGTTATTTTCCATTTGCTATACAGTACAGTATTGCTGAAAGAATACGCATATTTCTCATACTATTCAGATATCAATGAATGTCTGGACTCTCCGTGTTCTAATGGAACATGTGTCAATAGTCCTGGATCGTACATATGTGGTTGTAATCTAGGTTTCACAGGGGAACATTGCGACCAAGGTAAAAAAAAAAAACAAAAAAACATTATAATTCATTGTCACTGATTTCATTTTTATATTATACATACACTTCTACCTTTAATCATTGACAGATATCAATGAATGTAACAGTACAATAATGTCCTGTAAAAACAATGCTTCGTGTTACAATGATATTGGGTCATTTAAGTGCACATGCACACCTGGATGGAACGGAACTTTCTGCGATCAAGGTATGTAATTCAAATCTGTATTTTGGTTTCATATCATGGAAATGGGTTTTTTTGTTCAAAATCGTAGACTGTCATAAAAGTCATGTTTATTAACATAATGTTTGCTTTGTATGCTCGTTATGTAGATATCAATGAGTGTGAAGAGAAGCCCTGTTTATATGGAACATGTGTCAACACAGCAGGTTCGTACCATTGCAACTGTAGAGCCGGGATTGGAGGACAACTTTGTGACGAAGGTAGATAGTACACCTCGGGTAGTGTGTGAAATGTATCGCAGAGAAAAAAAAATAGATGTATTGATTGAAATGTGGTTTATTTAAAAAATGTTGTTAGCTATAGTAACGTAAGTTCTATAAAGCATTATGACGTCACAATAATGTTAGCGTTATATATTTACATTTGCAAATGTTTTCCCTTATATAACATTATATTTACATCAGTGTATAAACAGATTCGACACTTAACCATAAATTCATTGTTTAGTCATAAACGCAGTCTTAAGTAGTCGACATATTCAACACATTTAATTTATACTGTTGAAGTTTGAAAAAAATAAATCATTCCATGGTTTTAAAATTATAGTGCCCAAATACTTGTTAAAAATCAGTAATAAATTTAAATATAAGTTAAAAGGTATCATTTTAAAACTTTTATCGGGATGTAAATACGGATTGATACGTGATCAAATCTACTATAAATCTACTGTAAAGCCCTTCGGGCTTTCTGGGATTTGATCACATGACCAACCCGTATTTACATCCCGATAAATGTTTAAGAATGGTACCTTATTTCTTAAATAAAAGCGCGAATAATCCATGACAGGTAGCAAACCTTAAGTATCAGGGACGGATCAAGAAATTTTTGAAAGGGGGAGGGTAAGATTTTATTACACGAAAAATGGATTTAATAGGAATGTTCACAGTTAACATACACACTCGTTAAATATACAAACTGACATTTATTTTAAAAAAAGGGGAAGATTTATGATAATACAATGTAATTTCATTTTGCTTTGATTTTATCAAAATAGCTCATTGAAATAATATGGAATAAAATCTATGAAATAATATGTAATAATAATTCTCACTTCAAATTAACTACTTGATATTTTTTCTCCGACTAATGATTATGAACAAATACTTTGTGTTTACAAAAACGGACGAAAAATGATGATATATTTTACCAATCTATATTAATAGGTTACTTAATATTCATTCATATTACTTATTCAAGTAGGCGATATAATATTTCTTACTTTGCTTTTATTTACTGACGTCACTTATTTGAATTGATGACTTCACCTTTTAAATACTAGTTAGAGATAACTCATTTGAATGCACTTATTTGTTTAGAATAGGTAATTTAGTAATATTACATCCAAATGAGTAATATCACGAATTCAGAATTGAATTGGTAATATCTCTAATTCAAATTAGTAAGTTATATCACCTATTAAATACATTATATTTCTTATCAAATTAGTGATATCACTGAATGGCAATACATTCCACAACAGAAAAGTAATAAATAATGTGATACCCGGTATTAAGATCAATACTTTAATCAAATCCCGTATTACAGATATCAATGAATGCGTGGACGCGTACCCCTGTGAAAATAATGGTACTTGTGTTAATACTATTGGAACCTTCAGATGTACATGTACTCTGGATTATGTTGGGTTGACTTGTAGTTACGGTAATGTATAGTAATCACTTCTTTCTTACCGTGGTATTTTGTTTATTTGATTGGGTTTTGTCCCAATACTTACCTTTCTAATGTTGTTAAATTAATGATTGGTTTCTGATAAAAAAAAAATACAATCGATAATTAATAGAATGTTTTATTTACTTTCAGAAAATAGCAAACTTTTGGCTCCTGATGAGTTTCCCTCATCGTAGAAGTTCTATGATCGTGTACTTCCTGAAATTAAAATATATTTTCACTTTTAAAATTGTTGTGGAATGAAATAAAAGACGTCTTAATCGTATAGTGGTTTATTTGAGGCTTGTTATTATCTATAGAAACATAACGTAAAGTATTATGACGTCACAACAAAGTTAACGTTACATAAACTCGCGGATAATCCATGACACTCCGGGCACCAAAATGAATAGTAAAATTTTAAAAAGCTCATATTAAATTAACAGTTCCAGTGAAATAAAAAGCAAGTTCATAATCATTAAATTAAGAGGTCCATTCATGGATTCTTTCTTTGGCTTTTGGTTTTGATACTCAGTCCTCTTCTTTTCAGACACGTTATATTTCAGGTTTTGTATCAGAGTCTCAGTTTTCGAGTGTTTGTGACGTAGTTCTGTGTTAGCTTTCTCCAGCTTCATGTTCCGAATCTGCTGGTTGTCATTTTGTTTCTTTATCTCTGTCATGTCCCTGAGATTCTTTTTCTGTGACTTATCTTTTTCCTTCTCCTCGACCACTTTAAGTTTTTCTATCAGCTGAGTTTTCTCCCTTAGTGCCTCATCCCGAGTTTTTACGGCGAACCTATAATCTCTCTCCCTGCTATCTACGGAGCCCTGTAAAGTTTGCAGCTGATTTTCCAATCTCTGTACGTTGATCTTTAGATCACTTAATTTCCTTCGAGTGTAATCACATCGTGACTGAAGACTGTTGTTTTTAGCCTTGAGATGCTCCGAGTCAGAGGTGGCGGTTTTGAGTATGTCAACTTGGCCCCTTAATTCCTGAATCTCCTTATGCAGACGTCCGTTTTCGTACGCCAGTTTATTTTTCTGTTCCATCATTTCCTTCATCACATTCTCTACACGAGTCTGAAAATCTTTTTGTTGGTCGAATTGTGACACTCTTTCTAACAGGGTGGCATTCTCATGCTCCAACGCGTTCCTCCTTTGTGTCTGTGTCTTCAGCTCTGATTTTAATTTTTGTATCTCGTTAGTCAACTTGTTACGTTCTTCTTGCATGGAGTCCACGGTCCGACTTATCGGAGAGATAGGCCTAGCTGTATTCAGTAAAACACTTGTAGGTCGATGTTCAACGTTCAGTACTGTGGTTTCTGACTTCTTGCTCGTTTCTACAATGTTGACACTTGTTGATTTGGTGGGCTCGTCTCTGTCCCTCGTTAGTTTCATGTCGCATATACTTGTGTGGTGTTGAGGGATTTACAATCTGAGGCGCGGTGGTTTCCCAAACAGTTGAAACATAATTTCTTCCGTTTTAAGATGTCGAATCTTGCACTTACGTCTGTAACTTTCTTACAATTTCTTACAAGGAGTTAACTCTCTTGTTTTCTGATTACGTGAATAATGAACGTTGCGTTGTTTCTTTGAGGCTCCGGTAAGAAACATTGCTGTTGCGTGAAATCCATCGCTGTTTTCAATCTGGCCTGATTCAAGGATTTTGACTTCTTTGCTGATAGCTTTACGAAGATTTTGCAGTGAAATGTTGTCACCATCGTACTCACATGCAATGTTTTTCCTAATTTCAGTTGGTAGCTTGTTGATTATGACTGGAATAAGTAATGCTCCAAACATCTCTTGTCTTTGTCCTAGACACTCTAAACTCCTGACATGAGATTCCAAGAAGTCTCCATAATTTCTTAAACTAATGGCATCATTTCTGGGGGCAGGAAGTTCGATGAGTGCTCTCATATGAGCGTTAATAATTTTCTGTGGCTGACCAAATCGTTCTTTGAGCAAGTCTATTGCCGTTTCGTAATTAGCATTTGTAAGCGCAAATCCTGCTATTGTTTGTGCTGCTGTGTCGCGTAATTGAGCTTTGAGATAGCTAAACTTTTGAATTGGCGTCAAAGTATGATTGCAATGAATCGTTGATTCGTAGGAATCCCAAAATGTATTCCATTCTAATACATCTCCGTAAAAATGCGGAAGATCTAACTTTGGTAATCGATGATTATTCGTGGCGTGTTGGGATGTTAATGACAAAACATTTTCCTGGCTTTTTTGTGCATTGAGATCAGAGGCAGGATAATTGTTCAAAATATTCTCACAAGCCGTTTTACTTGAGTTAATTGTAGCTGACGTGTTAACGTTATTATCATAAATTTCTGTGGCGGGTGTAAAACACTCAGCATTGGCGTTCAAAGTTTTACATGGAATTTTTTCTGTAAATTTCTCAGTTTGCCTAATTTTACAGTCTAATTCATACATGTACTCATCTGTATTTGCGATTTCTGTTTCGATGTCCTCTTCAGATAGGATATCCAATATGCGGTCGTTCAATTCTTGTAGGGTCTGCCTTTTCAGCGCGAGAGACTTTCTAATTATGTTGATTTCCTCGGTAATTTCTTCACTGGCTGGATTTTCCTTCAAGTCTAAAAACCGTCCACATAGCTTTGTAACTGCTGATCTGTTGCCGGCTCGTATAGCTTTTAGTCTTGCTTCCATTGTATGTACTACGTAGAATTCCGTCGGTCACGGCACCAAAATGTTGTGGAATGAAATAAAAGACATCTTAATCGTATAGTGGTTTATTTGAGGCTTGTTATTATCTATAGAAACGTAACGTGAAGTATTATGTCACAACAAAGTTAACGTTACATAAACTCGCGGATAATCCATGACAAAAATATTATCTCTGGTAAGGTTGTTTGCTGAATGTTCATTTTCATATCATTCAATAAGATGTACATGTAACTTATTGAACATCTACAGGTAATTTATCGGATAGCTTCACAACTTACTAAACTTAAAGAAGTGTATGAAATTTAAGAGTTGAAATATAAAATGACCTAATAATTTAAAAGAACAAATTAATGATTTAGTTATGTTTGTGATATATATCATGATAGTTTCTATCGTTACGTAACGACGCTAAAACGATCGATGAATTCTAAATTTAACATGTCTGGGAAAATTGCCCCCCCCCTTTTCTTTATGAAGATGAAATTTAAAAATGATATACCTATGTTACCTGGAATATTGCACAAGAATTTTTCAAAGCATTGTCTTTAATGAAAAGGACAGTGTTACATTTATCGACATTGGAATGCCATTCAGTATAAATCGGTCGTCTTGTGTGTCTCTCAAATCATCTTTGATATAGGAAACAAAGCATAACATGATAAGTCGTAATGACGCATTGCACAGAGATTCGCAGAAAGAAAGGGAAAATACATGTAACTCTTTTAATGGTACATGACTATATAAAGCTTACCACATTGAATATAAGGCATAACTAAATTTTTTTTTCATAAACCGCTGGCCTAATTTGAATTTTTGGTTCTATAATTGATAAAAATAAAACTATCAAGCAATAAGCTCAAGTAAGATTATTATTTTTTTTTTTTGGATAAACCGATAAGACTAAGTGGTACTCTTCTATAGGAAGATGAGAAAAGTACATTACTCTTACATTCCTTGTTGAATGAGAAGCTTTGTAAAACCTTGAATTTCACCATGTAACTACCATTTTTTCTTTAGCTGAGAAATGTGGATTGCTAGAGTGTAGAAGAACCAGCTCTTTTGCCTTTTTCCGTGTGTCACTATTATCTGAAACTGTTTGTACATTGTTCCATACATTGCGAATTCTTTGTCCTTAATTTGCATTAAATCTGTCCAGAAGGGCGCTAGCTCTAGGTATGAAAAGTTCTTTGGAGTGTATGTTGTGTCAGAGTACATAGCAAGGAGTTCCGAGTGTGGTTAATGAGAAATATTTAGGAACATTTAACTTAAAGCTATGGCAATGATTGTACAATACAATTTAAAATGTAAAGCCTCACCTCACGAAAAGGTGGGAGATCATATATGGAACACGCTATATATAAAAGTAAATTTCATTTAAAAATTTTCTTATTTTCCTATTCTTTTAATAAAGAATCTGGAATAAAACACATACAAAAATTACAAATTAAATTTCTGGTACTTGTATGAATACTATAGACACATTCCAATGTATATGTCTAAACGTATTCGGTGGGTTGACATGCTCTTATGGTAATTTTACAATACAGATATACATGTATTCTTCTTAGAAGTTTGCAATTTCATTGGTTATAAGCGCCATTTGATGAAAGAAATTTGAAGAAGAAAAAACTAATTGCAATAGGACACTGAAATAATCCATGAAACTGTCTATTTAATTTCAGAAACAAGTAAAATACATATACATTATTATAACAATAACTTTATCCGAAGAGTCGTATCATCAGATCACGCGAAGCGTCGAGTTTGATCTGATGATCCGCGCCTGTCAACTCGACGTGATACGGCTCTTCGGATCAAGTTACTGTTATCATGATAAATTTATTATATACCCTCCCTTACAAATAGCAAAATATAGTTTTAAAAAAACTTTTGAGATCAATAATATTATATTAGATTTTTCCATTAAACAAAGCATTTTGTCAAGGAACTTTTTGATGCACATGAAAAATAACGTCATGTTTTTGTGTACTATGTCATCAATTTCAGAGAGGGGTGATATGGATTCAGAAAACGACAGTGTGGTTATCCGGAAAGTCGGATCACACCGTCACGTGATTGTACGAAATCTACAGTAAAATTGAGTGATACACACTTGGGTATATAATAAATGAACATACCAGTAGTTCAGGTTTCCGTATAAATAACGAATAAAATTGGTAATCTCCTGGAGTTTGTAATGTTTCAGCCATTCAATAATTCACGGTGCTGCAAAATTCTTGTTATGTTAAACGATGCAACAAATTGTGTTCAGCTGAGGATTTGCTATTTACAAGGAGAAACGAAACATCTGCATGTCGAAGTTGTTTTCCTCAGAAACGTCTTATTAATTACTTAAAAATAAACATTAATTTTTAAAAATAACCTCCAAGTGCAATTTTTTTCATTAAAAATACCAGTGCCGAAAGGTACATGCCACACAATGCAATAAGCCATCAAGGGGCCCAATTCTAAAAAAAAAAATAAACAAAAAGACTTATTAAAAAGTC